ATTAAAATTATTCTTCATTTTAATTATTGTATTGTTTTAAAGTATTTTTGCACTACAAATAAGATATGTGCAGTGTTCATAGGAATTCATTCTTTTCTTTTTTTTTCAAATTATAATCCGGCCCTCCAACAGTTTTAGGGACTGTGACCTGGCCCTCTGTTTAAAAGGTTTGAGGACCCCCTGCACTAGAGCATGGATCCACTTTAAATCTGGTTCCTGCCTCCTGCAGAATTCTGAGACTTATAGTTTGGGGGGGGGGGCAGACCTGTTTGGCTGAGTAGTTTAAAGGTTCCTTGCTAAACTACAAGCTCCATAGTTCTGAAGGAGGTAGAAACTGGATTTAAAGTGGATCCATGCTCTACTGTGAGGAGATCCTTAATGTCAAGGGGAAATCTTTACGTTTACTATAGATTTGACAGAAAACTTGTAGACATACACATATTCAAATGTTCACTAGATTAGTTAAGGCAGTGACCCCTTAATACAGTTCCTCATGTTGTGGTGATCCCCAATCATAAAATTATTTTCATTGCTATTTCATAACTTTAATTTTGCTACTGTTATGAATCACAACATAAATATCTAATATGCAGAATGTATTTTCATTCAATGGACCAAATTTATCACAAATACCCGATACACCCAAATTTGAATACTGGTGGGTTAGGGGAGATTGATTTTGTTATTTGGGAGTTGTAGTTGCTGGGATTTATAGTTCACCTACAATCAAAGAGCATTCTGAACTCCACCAATGATGTGATTGAACCAAACTTGGCACAAATAACTCCCATGACCAAGAGAAAATACTGGAAGGGTTTGGTGGACATTTACTTTGAGTTTGGAGTTGTATTTCACCTTTATCCAGAGAGCACTGTGGACTCAAACAATGATGGATCTGGACCAAACTTGGCACAGATACTCAATATGCCCAAATGTGAACACTGGTGGAGTTTGGGTAAATTAGATTTAACATTTGGAGTTGTAGTTACTGGGATTTATAGTTCACCTACAATCAAAGAGCATTCTGAACCCTGCCAATGACAGAATTGGGCCAAACTTCCCACACAGAACCCCCATGACCAACAGAAAATACCGTGTTTTCTGATGGTCTTTGGCGCCCCCCCCCCCCACACACACACACGCACGCACGCACATACCTCCTCACGACCCCCTGGGGTCCCGTCCCCCAGGTTGAGAAAAACTGAGTTAAGGGGATAGTACAAATAATCTCCTCCATATTAGGAAGAATCCAAGGACTGGGTTGGATAATTGTATGCCAGGGTGGGTCATTTGGAGTGGCTGTGTTAGAAACTTTCCCAACCCACCAGGTGCCACACCTCTCCTTCCACCAAGATTTGTTCTGCTATTGCTGGTCCCAATATTCAACAGCATCTGTGCCGGGAAGGGGGATGCCATCAGATCACAGAACTCTGCAGGGAAATTCGCTTTCACATCTTGATGGGGTGGAAAGGGGGCTGCCAAGTGTTACAATATATTTGTATGCTTGAGGCCCGATTTGACTTCAATGCTTGGGATCAAGGATTATTGCAAAACATGTATAATTAAAGTACAAAAGCATATATGCAATTGCTGACTCCCCCCCCCCCCCCACACAAGCAAACACAAGACTTGTATTGTCGATTGTTGTAGGTTTTTTCGGGCTATATGACCATGATCTAGAGGCATTCTCTCCTGACGTTTCGCCTGCATCTATGGCAAGCATCCTCAGAGGTAGTGAGGACTTTCATACTACAAGACTTGTAGTATGAAAGCGTTTAGAAAAGGCACGGGCAAACTTCGGCCCTCCAGGTGTGTTGGACTTCAACTCCCACAATTCCTTGAGGCTCGGCATTCGCCCCAAAGGCTTACCTTGGCCCAACGAGGTTTGTTTGGCTCTTTTTCATGGAGGACGGGCAGCAGAGGGGGAGAGACGAGCGTAACGTAGCTGTGCAGATGGCGAGGAAGGATGCGGAGCCCACAGACTGGCCTCGGAGGGGAGAGAGCAGGCGGAAACCCCTGCGGGCAACGCGCCTCCTCGCCGCTGCGGCCCTTAGCAACCGCCCGCATGGACCCCCTCCCTAGCAACGACGCCGGCTGAGTGACGTCGCGCAGAGCTTGTCGGGAAAAGGGAAGGCGAAGGCTGGAGGGAAAGGGCTCTGCGCTGTTTACAGAGACAGGGAATGTTGTTGTCCTCTTGGACAAAATGGGGGGGGGGGGATGTCACACTTATACAGAGGGGCATGGCCAGGCCCTGTAGTGTCCTGCCATGCATTTTGGGGGAGAGGGGCACAAGAAAGTTCTGTGGCACTAGAAATAGCCTTGCTAGTAACATGTGACCTGCAGTTCAAAGTGGCTATACAGCAGGCATGGGGAAACTTCGGCCCTCCAGGTGTGTTGGACTTCAACTCCCACAATTCCTTGAGGCTCGGCATTCGCCCCAAAGGCTTACCTTGGCCCAACAAGGTTTGTTTGGCTCTTTTTCATGGAGGACGGGCAGCAAAGGGGGAGAGACGAGCGTAACGTAGCTGTGCAGATGGCGAGGAAGGATGCGGAGCCCACAGACTGGCCTCGGAGGGAGAGAGCGGGCGGAAACCCCTGCGGGCAACGCGCTTCCTCGCCGCTTCGGCCCTTAGCAACCGCCCCGCATGGACCCCCTCCCTAGCAACGACGCCGGCTGAGTGACGTCGCGCAGAGCTTGTCGGGAAAAGGGAAGGCGAAGGCTGGAGGGAAAGGGCTCTGCGCTGTTTACAGAGACAGGGAATGTTGTTGTCCTCTTGGACAAAATGGGGGGGGGGGGAATGTCACACTTATACAGAGGGGCATGGCCAGGCCCTGTAGTGTCCTGCCATGCATTTTGGGGGAGAGGGGCACAAGAAAGTTCTGTGGCACTAGAAATAGCCTTGCTAGTAACATGTGACCTGCAGTTCAAAGTGGCTATACAGCAGGCATGGGGAAACTTCGGCCCTCCAGGTGTTTAGGAATTGTGGGTGTTAAAAGTCCAAAACATCTGAAGGGATGAAGTTTGCCCATGCCTGGGCTATACAGTCTTTTTAATAGTCACATGCTGTGATTATTCCATGCACGATACTGTCATTAAGCCCAATATAGGCAACACCATTCATTTATTCATCTATATAAATAAAAATGTAATGTTCGTTTGTGGGATTAACATAACTCAAAAACTACTGGACAGAGTGACATGAAATTTGGACACTATATGCTAACAGGCCAGTGAGTGACCATCACTCATAAAAAAACCCCAAAACAGCAGAAAGGACTTAAAAACACAAAAAATCTAAATGACGAAAAGCTAAATCACAATACAGAAAAAAAGGGAAGGGGAGAAAGAGAAAGAGGGAGTGAAAGAAAGAAAGTGCAAAGGAAGGAAAGAAAGAGGTAGAGAAGGAAGAAAGGAGAGAATGCAGAAGGAAAAGGGAATAAAGGAAAGGGGTAGAGAAAGAAGGAAGGAAAGAAGGAGCGAAGGAAGGAAAGAGACAAAGAGGGAGGGAAGGTTGCCACAGCAATGTGTGGCGGGTACAGCTAGTTTGTGTGTATATTTACAATATTTATAGCCCGCCTTTCACAGCCATATGGCGGTGACAATACGGGTTACAGATTGGAACAATTCAATGTCGGGCAGCCAAAGTGCCATTAAGAACAATCTACATTACAATATAAAACATATATAAAACCCATTAAAGCATATAATCATCAGTATCCTCTTGTTAAAAGCGTTATCCAGTAACATCGTCTGGCCATTCCATGTTCATCCTTCATAGTTCCGTGTTATCTATTCTGCTGTATTCTCAAAAACCTGCTCAAAGAGCCACATCTTTACTTTTTTTGTAAAGTCAGGAGGGAGGGGGGCAATCTAATATCCCTGGGGAGGGAGTTCCATAGCCAGTGGGGCCACCAGTGAGAAGACCCTGTCCTTTGTTTCTGCCAATCGCACTTGTGAGGCAGGCGGGATCAAGAGCAGGGCCTCCCCAAACAATCTTAAGCTCATAGATGGTTCATAAGAGGAGATACGTTCGGACAGGTAAGCTGGGCTTGTTTAGGGCTTTATAGGCTAAAGCCAGCCTATATTTGAATTGTGCTTGGTAGCAAATTGGCAGCCAGTGGAGCTGACGCAACAGAGGAGTAGTGTGTTCCCTGAGCGCTGCTCCTGTTAGTAACCTGGCTGTTGGACCATTTAAAGCTTCCCAACAGTCTTCAAAGGCAACCCCACGTAGAGCGCGTTGCAGTTATCTATTCGGGATGTAATAAGAGCGTGGACCACCGTAGCCAAGTCAGACTTCCCAAGGTACGGGCGCAACTGGCGCACAAGTTTTAACTGTGCAAATGCTCCCCTGGTCGCCACCAAAACTTGGGGTTCCAAGCTCAGCGATAAATCCAGGATCACACCCAAGTTGTGAACCTGCGTTTTCAGGAGGAGTGTAACCCCGTCCAACATAGGCCATGACCCTATGCCCTGTTTGGACTGTCAACTAACCAGAAGTACCTCTGTCTTGTCTGGATTCAATTTCAATTTATTACCAGCTGTTCCTACTGGCTGTTAGGAATTGTGGGAGTTGAAGTCCAAAACACCAGGAGGGCTGAAGTTTGCCCATGACTGGTATATACTGTATTGCTTCCATTCTAAAATGCCTTTGATTGTGAGATGTACATTAATTTCCTCACCAACAGACAACTATTTTTATGTATGTGTGTCTGTGTTGTACTTTCCATTTTAAAATACATCTCCATTTCTAAGCCAAAAGCCGGTGTTGTCCATAGACATCCCCTAGGTCATGTGATGAGCATGACTGCATGAAGCACCATTACCTTCCTGCTGAAGCGGTACCTATTGATCTACACACATTTACATGTTTTCGAACTGCTAGGTTGGCACAAGCTGGGCCAACTGCAGGAGCCCACCCCGCTCCCCGGATTCAAACTGCCAACCTTTCGGTCAGCAAGTTCAGCAGCTCAGTGATTTAATCCGCTGTGCAACCAGGAGGCCCATGGTGAGCATACCTTTCTATAAATGCCACCATTTTTCCATCTCATTTGAGTCGTTTGCTATTTCATAAAATGGATGCCGTTTTATACACCATTGTCTATTATTGATTTTGATATCCTCAGGAAATCTTGGAACCAGACCTCAGTGGATACCGAAGGTGTACTGTATTGTACAGTAGTTTCTTTTAAGAGCCATTTAAGAGCATGCGACCCTCAACATCTTTTTGGACGGCAACTCTCATCAAAATTGGCTCTTCCTGCTGAGTTGGACAAATGGATGTTGCAGTCAAAACAATATTAGGAGCACTATACATCCACTAATTTTATTTATTTATTTATAATTCAAACTTATATGCTGCCACTCCCCTGTGGCTCGGAGTGGCTTACAAGAACAGGCTAAAATCTAACACAATTTATTGTATATAGGAATAGTGTTCATATAATTTGGAATATGGTTTTTAAAATAAATATGTAAAAATTTAAAATAAACAGTACTATATAAAATTTTGATGAGTTGTCCTGGAGGACCAAGGGAGGTTCTCTGTTTTAAAAAGTGTTTTGGTTTTTTAAAATTTGCATATCTTCCATTTATATGACGGTCCTGTGTCCCTTAACTCCAGGAAATGTGGGCGGCTGATGTTGTATTTATATGACATCTTTCAGCCAGAAAGTATTTAAAGTATTTATATTCTATCTTTTTGGCAGAAAGGCTCTCAGCTTATAAGTCATGAATTTGACAGTTGCCTGTCCTCACATTTACCATCTAAATAAGGCCAATGCACAAGAAGAAGGGCATGGAAGGTGAGGAGAGTGCACAGATGCTGATCTGTTGGGGGCATGAAGTCCATCAGATGTTGGTTCATCTTCTCCCTTTGAAACCAGAGCAATGGAAGTTAGAACAAGGGTTTTCACCAACTCCTGAAGACCAGGCAGTGTGGCTCTTTTTCTGCAGCAAAGGCCTTCGTTGGAAGAAGGTGAGTATGACTTGACTCCATTCAGATCAATAGAAATTACAATGAGCTATGGGAAAGCAAAGAATGGCTGTTGATGAGAAGTGGAATAAGTTACATAAACAGAACTCAAATGAGAGAATTCCTGTAAATTGGAGACACTAAACTATGAACTCTGTTATAATTTATATTTATCTCTCTGACTTATCATTCTAAATTTAATTTGTTTATTTAATATGATGTTTCAGTGGTCTGGCCATAGGATAATATATTCTTTATATTGTTTTCTTTCATATCAGAGAATATGGGTTTTAAAATAAATATGTAGAAAATTAAAATAAACAGTACAATATAAAATGTTGAGTTGACCTGGAGAACCAGGGGAGGTTTCTCTTGTTTTAAAAAGTGTGTGTGTGTGTGTGTGTGTTTTTAAAATGCATATTTTCCATTTGCATGACAGTCCTTTGTCCCTTAACTCCAGGAAATGTGGGCTTAGAAGGGATCACAAGGGTAATCAGTTGATCTTTCTGTTAATGTAGAAAATCAACATTTTTATATTAGAGGTGACACACCTAATTAAATATAGTATTTTAGTGTTAGCAACTTTTAAATTTCTATAAAAAATGTTAGTTTGTACTATAGTGATTCCCTGTTTCCTGCTTTACCATAACTTTTCTTTATTGTCAGTACAGCTACTTTTATGTGTTTTTACAAAAATAAAAATAAGACCTAGCGTCTATCTTTCTCTGCTCTATCCTGTGAGGAATGACGACAGTGGTTGTTGTTCAGCTTCTGCACTCCCAATGTGATTACTCTGAGAAAGAGATATGGTGCAGTGGGAGTGGCGTCTGTTGGGATTCCAAGACTCCATATCCACCCTGGAAATCTTTGGTGTTTCCTGGCAGTGTCCCATTGAGGTACAAATCAGCCCCAACCTTGTTCCTCTTCTAAAATTCAATAAGATCTCATATGGTCAGAGGGGCATAGTAGTGAAAAAAGTGTACTTCTCTTGTGTGTCCCTTCAAGTTGTTTGTCCACTTATGATGCCCATCTGAATTTGATAGTTTTCATAGACTAGGATGGGTTTGACATTTCTTCCTCATCTGGTATTCATTAGCAGTCTCCCATCCAAGTAGTGACCTTGATTAATCATGTTTAAGCTTCCAAGATCCAAAGGGATGTGGTACCATTAGACCGTTTAGGCCCTCTGTGTTGACTATGTAGAGCTCTATACCTAGGAGTGGAACTGTTCAGTTTCATTTTGTGATTTGTTCATTGCAGTACTACTTACTTACTTCTGATTTTTGTCGGTCTTTTTAAATCGTATTATCACGTTATTATTTTGAATGTGCCATAACAGGATTTCAGGTATTTCCGAACTGCCCTAAAGGTTTCTACATTCCCAGAAGGCTTTAACTACTTATAAGTAAGAGCTAGAATGCTGAAATGTTGAACACATCATTGTCAGAAGTATGCTAAATGTTTTAAATTAATCCCCAAGGCAATACTTCCCTTCTTGTTATGAATGATATCAAGAAATGTGACAAAATAGAATTGCACATAAATATTAATAGATGGGACATTTTTCAGCAGATGGTTGTAAATAATATGGGGATTCATGACAATGCATATCAGAGAAGTATGACTGTATAGAGAGAGAGAGCAGACACACTCAACATTCGGGGAAAATGCAAAAAAAATGATTTGTTCATTGAAAATTTTCTAATTTCCACTTATACTAAGTAGGCTGAAAGTATCTATATTTGTTAGACTGTAATCTCATTACCTGCATATCTTGTGCACCTACGGTGCAATAACGGTCTTTGGACCATAATAAAATGTTGTTGTTGCTAGCTATAATATAGTCCTTTGAACTGTAATTGGTATAAGATACTTAATCTGACTTGTGCTAAACCATCTTTCTCACCAGCACACACATATATTTGCCAAACCTCCTTATGACCCAAACTGTCTAGCCATGCATAGCCATTGAGTTGTTATGGGGATATTTGGGGATGTTCTGTCCTTTAGGTTATTTTAGAGAGTTTCTATAAACATACAAAACTTGAAATTGAATCTGATTTCTTCCTTGGTAAGTGCTATTTTGTCCACAGAAAAATGAATCAGAAGTACAAAGAATGATATCAAGGGTAAGTTTCAGCTAAAGTTCAGTAAGTTTATCTCTCACTGATTCTAATAAGGAATAATGAGCATACTTACCAAGTTTGCAGGTGACACCAAATTAGGAGGAGCAGCTAATATCCCAGAGGACAGGATAAGAATTCAAAATGACTTTAACAGATTGTGTCAAAACTAACAAAATGATTTTCAACGAGGAGAAATGTAAGTTACTACACTTAGGCAGCAAAAAATGAAATACACAGATTTAGGATGGATGACACCTGGCTTGACAATTGCACATGTGAAAAAGATCTAGGAGACTTAGTAGAAGAAAAGCTAAACATGAGTCAGTGTGATCCAGCATTTAAAAAGCCAAAGTGATTCTAGGCTTCATCAATAGTATAGTATCTAGATTAAGGGAAATAATAGTCCCCCTCTATTCTGCACTTGTAATATTGTGCCGACTTCTGGGCACCACAATGCAAGAAGGATATTGACAAGTTAGAATGTATCTGGAGAAGCGTAACCAATCCATATGCGGAGCTGCTTAGGGAGTTGAATATGCTTAACTTGGTTGGAAACCAGAAAGTTAAAAGGGGACATGAGAGAAATTATTGGGAGTTGGGACATAAAATAATAACTTTGAAACTCTGATAATACATCAGCCTATTTCTTCTGTGCTTTTCATCGTCTTCTCAGGAATCTCAACTGTCTTTAACCTTTAATGAGAACCAATAATGACTGAGTGTGTTGTGAGTCAGCATTCTGACACCATACCTACTATTAGTAGTAGGAGAAGAAGAAGGAGTGATGCAGAAACAGAGGAGAATCAGCGCCAGCTGAAACGAATTCGTGACATCTTTCTGGCTCCCGGTGATGAAGAAGACTTTGCAGGATTCAGGCCAGAGGAGGCTATGGAAGCAGATTACAGGGGAGTGAAGAGAGTGGCTAGTGATTCTGGCAGTGAGAGTGACACTATGTCTAAGAGGCTTAGAGACACAGCAGATAACTCCAGTGATAGTGAGGATGAGTTGGAGGAGGCTGTAGACTGGACTCTGGTTCAGAACATTAGAGACATTTGCAATCAAGCAACATCAAGTGATGATTTTGAAGGTTTTAGGGATAATGGGAATGAGAGTACTGATTGGCAGGATCAGGCACTAGAGCAAAGGTGGCAGGCTTGGCGTGGTGTAGATGCTTCAGCTGCGGGAGCAGAATCAGATGCAAGCAATGAATCTCATTCTTCTGATAGTGAATAAAATGAGCACTCTGGGACCTATTCCTTTGCAGACGACAAAGTGTTGTTTCGTGTTCTCTGCCTAATCTTGTTTTGGATTCCCAGTATCCTGTTTTCCCTGCCGTGCCTCGGACCTTGGAACCTTCGCTTGTGAGTGTACATCTGGCTTCTTGACCCTTGGAACTGACTGACTACACGTTTGCCTACCGGATTTTGCTCCATGCCTTGCAACCCTTAAAGACTGTTTGTTTTGTATTCTGCTCCTAGTTCATCATATCTCCTGTTATTTCTTGGCTGCAATTCAAGCCTGTTTATCTAGCGTTTTGTGTTCCTGTTTGAAAACATCCTTTGAACTGTTTGCACTGACTTTTAAAGTGCCTTATTAAGTTTGTTTTGCATTAAAATACTACTATTTTGCACCTCAACTGCTGTTTAAGACATTCTGTGTTCTGTGGGTCACGACAGAGTGAGTATAATGCCTTCTTATACAGCCTTAGTTTAAAAGAGCACCTACAAATGCTGTGAGCATGGTAGGAGAATATGTTTTGACTGTGTTCGTTACTTGAACATTAGGTGTGGTTTTCCAATATGAGAAAGTGACTACAGCTAATTTGAGTACATTGTTATTTCAGGTAAGCTGCAATGTTCTGGGCCCTCTTTCATTCCACATTTCTGGATTTTAATGAGATGCTGGCTATGGCTCTCTGACATTTTACTAGTTTGCTTTGTTTTCTACTAAAATGTTGAATAACTATATTGCTTCTGTTTGTCTACTGATGTACCTTATGGTGTCTTTGTTGGATATTAGATTGCATATAACTCAATATAATATCAAGTCACTGTTTTTCATCACTTTCACAGATGCCCACATTGTATGTTGAATGAGTAATAAGGAAATGCAGCAAATTGTTGTTTACTGAAGAAAAAATAAAATGCAACAAATATCCTAATTACAAAGAAATAAATTAACTACAGAAGACCATTTAAAAAATATATCTATAAAGAAAATACAATTCTTGAACTCCACACTCTATGTAGGACTTTTGAATGTTTAATAATAACAATGATGTAAAAAATCAAAAGACTATTGGAAGAAAATACACAAAAATATACAAACAATATTAAAAATAAAGATACCATTAAAACCGGAAATATTTTTATTGGAAATCAATGAAAAGAATTGGACAGCAATACAGATAAGCTTCTCTTCTTATTAACAACAGCAGCAAGAAAAAAGAAAAAAAATCAAGATAAAAAATAGATGGTTCTACTTCCGGGCTTCTTCCTGGGAGTTTTCCCCCTTTCCCTCTTCTTAAGTCTCTGTAATTTTTTCTTATCTGTTTTTCTCTCTTTTCTTCTTTGTTGTTGTTCATTCGTTCAGTCGTCTCCGACTCTTCGTGACCTCATGGACCAGCCTACGCCAGAGCTCCCTGTCGGCCGTTACCACCCCCAGCTCCCTCAAGTTCAGTCCAGTCACTTCAAGGATGCCATCCATCCATCTTGCCCTTGGTCGGCCCCTCTTCCTTTTGCCTTCCACTTTCCCCAGCATAATTGTCTTCTCTAGGCTTTCCTGTCTCCTCATGATGTGGCCAAAGTACTTCAACTTTGTCTCTAGTATCCTTCCCTCCAATGAGCAGTCGGGCTTTATTTCCTGGAGGATGGACTGGTTGGATCTTCTCGCAGTCCAAGGCACTCTCAGCACTTTCCTCCAACACCACAGCTCAAAAGCATCGATCTTCCTTCGCTCAGCCTTCCCTAAGGTCCAGCTCTCACATCCGTAGGTTACTACAGGGATACCATGGCTTTGACTAGGCGGATCTTTGTTGCCAGTCTGATGTCTCTACTCTTTACTATTTTATCGAGACTGGACATTGCTCTCCTCTCAAGAAGTAAGCGTCTTCTGATTTCCTGGCTACAGTCTGCATCTGCAGTAATCTTTGCACCTAGAAATACAAAGTCTGTCACGGCCTCCACGGTTTCTCCCTCTATTTTCCAGTTGTCAATCATTCTTGTTGCCATAATCTTGGTTTTTTTGACGTTTAGCTGCAACCCGGCTTTTGCGCTTTCTTCTTTTACCTTGATTAGAAGGCTCCTCAGCTCCTCCTCGCTTTCGGCCATCAGAGTGGTGTCATCTGCATATCTGAGGTTGTTAATGTTTCTTCCAGCAATTTTCACCCCAGCTTTGCATTCATCCAGCCCCGCACATCGCATGATGTGTTCTGCATACAAGTTAAAAAGGTTGGGTGAGAGGATGCAACCTTGCCGTACGCCTTTCCCAATCTTGAACCAGTCTGTTGTTCCGTGGTCAGTTCTGACTGTTGCTACTTGGTCCTTGTACAGATTCCTCAGGAGAGAGACAAGGTGGCTTGGGATGCCCATCCCACCAAGAACTTGCCACAATTTATTATGATCCACACAGTCAAAGGCTTTAAAATAGTCAATGAAGCAGAAGTAGATGTTTTTCTGAAACTCCCTGCCTTTCTCCATTATCCAGCGGATATTGGCAATTTGGTCTCTCGTTCCTCTGCCTTTTCTAAACCCAGCTTGAACATCTGGCAACTCTCTCTCCATGTATTGCTGGAGTCTTCCTTGCAGGATCTTGAGCATTACCTTACTGGCATGTGAAATAAGGGCCACTGTACGGAAGTTTGAGCAGTCTTTCGCATTTCCCTTTTTTGGTATGGGGATATAAGTTGATTTTTTCCAGTCTGATGGCCATTCTTGTGTTTTCCATATTTGCTGGCATATGGCATGCATCACCTTGACAGCATCATCTTTTAAGATTTTAAACAGTTCAGCTGGGATGCCGTCGTCTCCTGCTGCCTTGTTGTTAGCAATGCTTCTTAAGGCCCATTCAACCTCACTCCTCAGGATGTCTGGTTCTAATTCATTCACCACACCGTCAAAACTATCCTCGATATTATTATCCTTCCTATACAGATCTTCTGTATAGTCTCGCCACCTTCTCTTGATCTCTTCAGCTTCTGTTAGGTCCCTGCCATCTTTGTTTCTTATCATACCAATTTTTGGCTGAAATTTACCTCCAATGTTTCTAATTTTCTGGAAGAGGTCTCTTGTCCTTCCTATTCTGTTGTCTTCCTCCACTTCCATGCATTGCTTATTTAAAAATAGTTCCTTATCTCTTCTGGCTAACCTCTGGAATTGCGCATTTAACTGGGCATATCTCCCCTTTTCACTGTTTCCTTTTGCTTTCCTCCTTTCTTGGGCTACTTCCAGTGTCTCAGCAGACAACCATTTTGCCTTCTTGGTTTTCTTTTTTTTTGGAACGTACTTTGTTGCCGCCTCCTGAACAATGTCTCGGACTTCTGTCCATAGTTCTTCTGGGACTCTGTTTACTAAATCTAGTCCTTCAAATCTGTTCCTCACTTCCACTGTATATTCGCTAGGAATGTTAGTGAGATCATATCTAACTGGTCTGTGTATTTTCCCTGATTTTCTTCTATAACATCTTCTATAACATCTCTTTTTTGTATGTAGGTGAGTTTTTTTTATTTGTCTTTACTATTTACCTTACTTAAAGTATTCATTTATCAGTGTCCAGGCTGTCTCTTTTCAGCTGTTTCTTTATATTTTTGTTATCAAGTGGGTTAATCTGTCCATATTTCTTGTGTCCATAATCTTTTTATTCTAATTTTCAGTTTTAGGCATTTCACTATTTCTCCATAATCTAGCATAAGATATTCTTTCCCCTCCCACCCCCACCTTCCCTTACCCCTCACCCTCACCTCTTTTTTCCCTGTATTCCACTCATGTTTCTGTTTTTGTGTTTTTTCTTTTTTTAACTTAAAATTTTTAGCTTTGTACGTGAAAATTGCTTTGTAAAGGATATTAAAATGAAAAAAAAACCCCTTTTATTTATAACCCTCCCTCTCTCCTCGAAAGGACTCAGGACAGTTTACAAAAAATAACAAAATGGCAAACTCAGTTCTTGTGGGTTTTTTCGGCCTATATGGCCATGTTCTAGAGGCATTTCTCCTGACGTTTCGCCTGCATCTATGGCAAGCATCCTCAGAGGTGAGGTCTGCTGGAGCTGGGAAAAAAGGGGTTTCTTGGTCTCTCTTCATCTGAGGATGCTTGCCATAGATGCAGGCGAAACGTCAGGAGAAATGCCTCTAGAACATGGCCATATAGCCTGAAAAAACCCACAAGAACTGAGTGATTCCAGCCATGAAAGCCTTCGACAATACATTAAAATGGCAAACATTCAATAGCCCAAAACAATTAGACAATCAAAGCAAAACATAAAATAACAAAAACTCAATACAACTTATAAAATAACTTCTAATACTTTGTTTACAGATGTCATATTTCCATCAGTGTCATACTCATCAAACAAGACCTCATATTCTCATTTCTTAAACCTACTGAGAAATGGCAGAATCAAGAACATCACTTTGTTGCCTAAGGTGCATTCAGTCATCAAAATTCTTATTGTGAGTAAACCATAGTTTATGGCTCTGACATGTTGAAAGACAAACAAGCCAGAGTACTGAGTTGGGACGACACAGTAAACAAACCATGAATTAAAAGTTCATGGTTTGTTTAGTCACTCTTACCTGCAGCCAGGGCTTTAGTCAGTATGTGCAGCCATGCTGCTCATCAATAATAGATCAAGATTGTCCTGGAAGTCTAGCTTGCCATTACATTCAAGCAAGTCTGTATCGAAGACTGTGTATACAGTAGATGTGATATGTATTCCTAACCTATCGAGCATGATCAGTCAATGCCAAACAAATTACATATAGTGCATTTTATGTCCCTGAAATATAAAAGCTACTTTCCATTTGTAAAATGTCCCTGAAATAAAGCAACTTTCAGTTTGTAAAATGTAGTGCATATTTCAATAAATTAAAAAAAACTGTTTCTTTTTAAATAGATTTTTCCGATGACTTGTACATTTCCAAAAAGTTTAAATCTCTGCAATGTACACAAGCAAAACCCCATGTAGTCTGATCAGAGTCAGAAATAACCAAGCCTGGAGATAGGCTTTATGTACAGAATACGTCACCTGGATCTTATTTAGTCTGGAGATAATATGATGCATGTGAATGGTAAGAGCTGCAAAGAATGGTGATCTCTTCTAATTTCAAATAGCCTTTTAAAAATAATTTGGCATGCTAAATGAACTTGGTCTCTGTGTTGTTACCAGATTCAAGAAAATGAATCATTATCCAACTCCACACTTCTTGACTGCTCCCCTGCTATATCTGTAATTCTTCCATAAAGAATCCCTCAACTCTGAAGCATTGCCATGTTGAGGGTATGCAGAAACTGTACAAAGTTGGAAATTCACTCAGTTTTAATTACATCAACAGACAGCTGGTTCAGATAGCAGAAGGTGCTGACTAGATACAACCCTTCGTATGGGTCACATATTAAGGACTGCCGAAAAAGTAGGACTTCT